GATTGCTGAGGCCTGGAAGGGGCCCCAGGGCCCACTCAATGTTGCAGGTCAAGTGAAGCCACCATCAGGGGCACAAGACACCCACTCCATCCACCCTGACCACCCCAGCAGCTCCAGAGGCAGGGACGGAGAAATCAGGTACCTGAGGTCATCAGCCACTTTGACCATACATACGAAGCAGTGCCTCCTGCAACCTGGGAGCAGAAGTCAGCTGAGGGTCCACGCGGACAGCAGGCACCACTTACCTGCAGGGCTGGATGCTAAGGGTGGGTGGCCTTGGGCAAGAGCTGTGTGCCTGGCAAGGGCAGCCGCTCAGCCTGCCCAAGTCAGGCACCTTGAGGGTAAGTTGCCTGGTACCCAAGCCCCTCCAAGGCCTGCAAGTGACACCCTGGCATTCACTCCTGCTCCCAGAGCCACCAAATGGGGACAGAACAGAAGCACATAGCACACGCCTCTGCAGGAGAGAAAAAAATGGATGTTTGTGGCCAAATATGAGGATGCTGCTCAAAATCGGCTCAGACAGGGCCCCCGGGGAGTCCACGGAGGACAAACAGTGGCAACAGTGCGGTCCCTCCATAAGTTGAAGAAAGAAGAAAGAAACACAAAAAGTGGCTCACCAGTCAAAGACAGGTTTATTCTAGAGAATAAACCTGAGAGGGGCTTCTGGCTGATTTCGGTCAGGAGTGTTTCTTCTTACAGACTAAGGGTATTTAAGGGTTTTAGGGCAGGGGAGCTTATTGCAGGCTGGAATGTTTCTGCGTGAACAAGAGTTTCATTGTGGGTGGTGGGGGGGAGGTTATCTCAAGATTGGCATGTTTCTGGTTGGAGTGGGGATTTAACTTACTTAGGGTTGGAATATTTCTAGTCATGCTGACATTAGCCATTAGGTTGATGTTTTGGGGCTGGATTTTAGGCGATTTTTAATTAAAGGAAACTTCAAATGGTGGTGTTTGTCCAAGATAACAGGGCTCCTGCTCTGTCACCCTCCACCCAGCAGAGCGCAACGCAGCCTTGAAAAGGAAGGGAATCCCAACATGGCCACCACCCAGAGGAGCCTGAAGGATGTCGTGCGGAGTGAAATTGACCACACAGAAAGGAATGGGTCCTGATTCCACTCCCAGGAGGTCCCCGGAGTCTCAAGTTCATACAAACAGGAAGTGGAAGGGGGCCCGGGGGGCTGGGAGGGGTAGCGAGGAGTGGGCGTCGAATCAGGAGGGAGCTTTGGTGTGGGGAGACCAGAGGCCTGGAGGCGGTGGTGATGGGGGCTGCTCCCCAGTGTTCAGTGCCCCCAAACCATGCACTTAGAAATAGGATAATTAAACTTATGTTATGTGTTGTTTACCGGGATTTTGTAAAAAATTTTAAGCAGTCAAGTTTTGGCATAGATGACACAGGGTCACCTCCAAAGCCTCGAGGCCCAGGGCTGCCTGGCCAGAAGCCTCTTCTCCCACACACGGCCATCCCTTCATTTATTCCTCATCACCCCTTCTCCAAAGTCTAAGTCCTTGGCAGCCTCCAGGCAGAGCCCAGGTCTGGATGTGAACGGCTCCATCATGCAGGGTGAGGCCATGCTGGGCACAGCAGTGAGACAAGCCTGCAGCCACTGCAGGTGGAGTCTCTGGCTGCAGGGTGAGGCCCAGGCCCCACTCCATTGCCGCTGACACCCATGGGTGGTTCACACGGGCCCAGACGAAGCACGTTTTCAGCCAGGCTTCAGTGGGGGTGAGGGAGGTGGGGGATGGAGTGATAGGGCCTAGATTCCCAAACACTCCCCTCAGTAAGCCCCAGGGGTGGGAGCTGGGGGTCTCTGAACCTCGGGGGCTGTGGGGAGGCTACACCTTGTGCTGAGACCTCCAACCTCCACCGTCAGTGACCTTGCTTGAATCAGCTCGGACAAGGCACTGGAAGAGAGAGAGAGAAGCGACGGGCTCAGGGCCGCCTTCCCCAGGACAGCAACCACAGGCTGCCCACGGTGCCCACGCGGCGAGGGCCCACCCAGAAGCAGGCTCTGGGGAAAGCAGGCCGAGACCAAAGGGGCTTTGCTGGGGGTGGGCGAGGGCAGACGAGCTGTGCGAGGCTGAGCCATGGACTCCACAGGCCGAGGAGTGGGCCGGCACCCCAGTCGACACCTGCTGAGGCTGGCATCTACCTACAAGACCACTCCCAGAAGGTGCCAGACCCCTGCCAAAGGGCATCTCCTCCCAGCCTCTTCTTCGGTTCATAAAAACTACAAAAACCAGGTTAAAGAAAACACGAAATTCTCTAGAAATCCCAATGCTGTCCCCACTGGCACTAGGCAAGGAGCAGAGATGAGCCAGGATCACCTCCAGCTCCAGCCCCACCCAGATCCCTGCCCACGAGGCACGGCTGCAGCTCGACCTCTCCCCGCCGCTGGGTACGGGATCCTCTAGACCACTGCCCTCCTGACACCCAGGTCCCTGCTGCCCAAGTGCTCAGCCTCACCACATCCTTGGGGCATACCCTTCCCAGCCAATGTCACATCCATGGAGACATGCAGGGGAGCAGAAATGTGCTGGTGTCATTTCCCCATCAGTGGGACTTGGGCAGAAGAGGCTCAGCGCTTCCCAGGTGGGATCCGAACAGGCCCGCCCTGGCCGTCAGCCCTGCTCGCTGCTGGTCTGTCCGTTTGCCGAACGCTGTAGGTCTGGAGGAAAGTGCCATGACAGAGGTGCGGGGACAGGTGGCTGGCAGAGGGGTGGGTGGTCGGCCACTACCCACCCCCCACCTGGAAGAGCTCATGGTGGCCCTGCACAGGCTGCTCCAGCACCACAGCCCCAGGCTGCCACCACAGGCACCAAGGAGCATCAGGCACTGGGCAGAGCGGCTGGTCCCCCTGGGAAGGAGCGGGACCAAGGCATGTGCTCGTGGTGGTACCTTGCAAGCGGTGCCAGGACTAAGGAGGACACATGGGCAGTGCCAGGCATCCCACACAGCGACTTCCAGGGCAGCCGGGACGGGGACAGTGGAAACCACACGTGTGGGGTCCATGTAAATGAACCCCAGGCTTCCTTCCAGGCAGTTCTCAAAACAAAACTTAATTTTGGCAAAGGCAAAACCAGAGATGGGAGCGGTGGCTCACGCCTGCAATCCCAGCACTTTGGAAGGCTAAGGCAGGTGGATCACTTGAGGCCAGGTGTTCGAGGCCAGCCTGGCCAACATGATGAAACTCCGGCTCTACTAAAAATACAAAAACATTAGCCAGGTGTGGTGGCGGACGCCTATAATCCCACCTACTCGGGAGGCTGAGGCGGGAGAATCACTTGAACCTGGGAGGTAGAGGTTACAGTGAGCCGAGATCACACCACTGCACTCCAGCCTGGGTGACAGAGCAAGACTCCATCTCAAAAACACAAACCAAAAAAGAAAGGCAATGTGTTTAACACAGGTGCGGTCACTCACGTCTGGTCCCACTTTTCCAGGGCTCTGAACAAAAGAGCAGAAAGCTCTCCCTGGGGACAGTGCCATGTCCTGGTTCTGATTCTGTCCCCAGCTGTGCAACCCACACAGGGAAAGGCAGATGGGGCCCCCGGTCAGGGTTAGAGTGTGAACCCTTCAGAATGTTTCCATGTATTTTCTTATGGAAAGTGGTTCTGCAGCCCTTCCTGACAAAGGTGAGCAGCATACAGGGTGGCCCCACGGTTGGCGGTGGGGTGGCCGGGAGGCCATTGTGGTCCTGACTCTCCCACCCCAGCCCTGCCGCACCCTCCGCAGCCCGCCTGCCTCCCACCCACCAGCACCTCACTGCCTTCCCCACCCCCCCGCAGGGCCCACCAGCACTCAGAACAGCACAAAAGTGTTGGTGACAGGTGCCACATGCTCCCCTTTACCATCATCTCAGCAGCTGCCAAGCGCACCCAGGGGCTGGGCTCCCCTCCCCCACCCTCCCAGCAAATGCTGGCATAAGCAGCTGTGGGCTCTGTCTGCACAGTGGGACTCTGGAAGGACGCTCTAGGGGTGTGAGGTGCTGGGCACAGGGGTCGGGTAGACCCCAGCACCCCTCCTCACCTGAGAAGCAGATACCTACCTGCTCACCGGGCACCTGCTGGCTCCATGGGCACCAGCTCCCTCCTCCTGGCGTCGGGGTCTCTCCCTCTCATGGGGTAACGCAGTGACAAGAGGACCAGCCTGTAGCACGAGCTGACCCGGCGGCCAGGCTGTGTGAAGAGGGGCTCTGGCCACTTTGCCGAGAGCTTGTCGTGTGCATGTTAGCTTTTTATTTATTGTTTTTTTGGAAGTCTTGCTCTGTCACTCAGGCCGGAGTGCAATGGCCCAATCTCAGTTCACTGCAACCTCTGCCTCCCAGGTTCAGGCAATCTTCCTGCCTCAACCTCCTAAGTAGCCAGGATTATAGGCGCCCATCACCACGCCCGGCTAATTTTTTGTATTTTTAGTAAAGATGGGATTCCGCAACGTTGGCCAGGATAGTCTTGAACTCCTGACCTCAGGTGATCTGCCAACCTTGGCCTCCCAAAGTGCTGGGATTGTCACACCTTCACCTTACAGTGATGCATTTCACAAACAAGACTTTTGCCTGCAAAATGCCACTTTATCCTTCATAATGCTGAT